CAAGTGTTGAGATAGTGGCATGGCTTGCCGCGTTGAATCCCGAGTACTGTCCAGCCATGTCCCACATACTGAAATCTGAGCAGGTCCACGGGACGGTAGCGCGCGCACCAGTGGTGCGCAGGAAAGAGCATCAGAGCGAAGGCATGAAGAAAAACCTGCATGATGAAGTGCAGATGATTAGTGGTCACTCTCGCAGAACAGCTGCCAAGTCCACCCAAAGCTGCAAGGGCGATTCGCCGTGCCCAAGTACGAATATTAGAAAAATCCGTGTACTACAAATCACTTTCATGGTCACTGAACAATCGGAGCACCAAATTTTCGTCAAGTTATTTTAGGACACTCTATGCGTATAGGTACTGAATCGCGCGTTTTGAGTTCAGTGAAGAGCGTCTTGATTTGGCTATCGCTCTACTTAACGCTTTGCTTGACTCGAGTAGATGCGATGGGAACGACAGCATACTTTCAAACAATAGTGCGGCCAACCCAACATTATCGTCTTTTCACTTGTTCATGGCAACGTTTCTCCTTCATGCAGTATGTAAAACTAATAAAGACGAAAACCCAATCCGACATTTACGCGACACACTCACCACTCTGCGAGGCATTTACTTGAGTTCCCCCTTAAGAAGATGCGGGCGTTTTTTTTTCTCTTTGACTGATTTTTCACGTCGATGCGGATAGCACAAACCCGTTGAAAACGTACTTATATTTGTTTTCGCATTGATGCAGTACGCCAGTAAGCCACACAGGGCTTCTCAAGCGTCATATTGTTAAAGAATTTAGCTGAATGACGTGCTGTTGTTACCAGTAAACTTGCAAGACATTCTGCTCAGAATTTTTCAGATTTAAATCGTCCCAGTGTTCTTTCTGTATCTCACATGCAAAATTCAACATCTGTCCTGATATATTCACCAAAATTCGAAAGAAGGTAAAGCATGCTAGCATAATGAAAGAGCGGTTGTTTCTTTTGCATTTTGGCTCCTCAACATTGTGCGAGCTGTGCTTTAGTATTCGACCTTGACAAGCAGGCATATGAGCTCATGCAAAGCTAAGCAGAAACGCATTCATAGTCTACCCTGGAGTTGTATTGTACACCCATTTCACGCGGACAATCTTATTTCAGACTGACATGCACGTACTCAGTTGTAGGGCCCGAAATCACAACTGAAAACTGCAGGAAAAACAAAATGCTTCCTGGCAATTCAGTTTTTTTCAGTGCAGACGTGTTCGAGTATACGAAAGCACAGAAGTTTTATCCAGGCATAAACACAATAACACGCATATAAGCATTCAATAAATGTATAGGAACCACCAGACGCAACTGCATCAGCAAGCCTTCCATCGCTTTAGCTTATAAAGAAACACCTACAATGAATTAGAGTATCCATGCAACTTAATCAAAAATTTGGTCTGATTCTTGTGTTGTCACTCTTCTTTTGTTAACGTTAAAAGTTCACGAGCAGGCAAGTATAGTAAAGCGATGATCGCCGCGGGACGTTCTCGTTTGTATTTGCCACCGTGCAAGCATTGCTTCGGGCGGACTTCGATGAGCCCCGGAAGGTCAAGATTCCCGGAGCCCTCTGCTACGCCATCAGTCATAATAATTTGTTAGTTTCAGGACGTGAAACCCCCACAATTATTATTCAGTCTTGCTGTGAACAAGAAGCACAGGGCAACACACGCATTGGCTAAATAGGGGCCTTGATGGTAATTGAGACAATTACTGCAGAATTAAAAAAATGGCAGATCCCATTTACAAAGGGAATCTATGGTATGCAAAACACGAATGAGAAATGTTGCTGTGTCACTTTAAAATCGGCACAACATTACGAGGTGGATGTAAGTGATGCCGTACACGACTTCCGTGTCATGATTATCATCTTCTGTTGTGTCGTTAACCTTCGCCATCCATTCACGTCTCGTGATACCAAATTTAGCATATGTGGAGCTAGCAAAACGGCCGCGAGCACGCCATAAGCGTGGTGTTTTGTCATGTTCCTACTTGACACGCGTGTCAGGATTATCATGTTTGCACGAGTCATATATTTCGTCATTCCTTGACCTCACGTAACTCTAAATTTGGCATTTTTGGAGCTAGCAAAACGACCTCAAGCGCATAATGAAGAAACCAATATACTGCAATGTAGCGTTGACGCGCGCGCATCGCTGGGCAAAGCGACACTACGTTAGCGAACTGCGAGCATTCTATAGTTTCACGCCAGGCGCGACCAGCGTCCGTCGGCGCGGCCCGACGTGCAACGGTGGGAAATGTGACATGCTGGATTTCGCAGCGATGCGTTATTAAGACAATCATGTGTCTACCTCTTTCGTGACGGAGGGACGCCGGACGCCCTAAAACACGCATGCGTCAAAGCAACCCAGCGCGGCACGCGCCTGTGAGTATATTGCAGGACCGGCGCCTGGCGTAGCAACACCGGCGTGATGCGACAAAACAAACGCCGGCAAGCACTGCGCACAGCGTCACTATCGAAATGTATTGGTGCCTTGACTGTGGCATGTAGTCATGTTCTCACAAGACACGCATCTCACGATTATCAAGTTTGCACCAGTCATATGTTCACGTAATACAAAATTTCGCATATGTGAAGCCAGCGAAAGGGCTACAAGTGCATCACGAGTGTGACATGTAGTCATAATGTTACATGACACGCTATGTCGTGATTCTCATGTTTGGAAGTGTCACTTACCTATGTCGGTAGTTCGCGTCCCATAATACCGAGTTTGGTACATGTGAAGCTAATGAAACGGCCACCAGCACGTCATGAGCGTGGCATATAGTCATGTTGTTACATGAGACGCATCTCCTGACTATCGTTTTTGCATCAGTCACATACCTTCGCCATCTATTCAGGTACCGTAATACCAAATTTGGTACATGAGACGCTACTGAAACGGCCGCGAGAGTATCATGAGCGTGGCATGTAGTCAGGTTGGTACATGACGCGCATATCATACTTTTCATGTTAGGGTGTGTAGCTTGTGTTCGCCATGCAATCATGTCATACCATACCAATTTTGCATCATGCCATGTGAACGAAACCAACACAACAGCTAAAGAATGATGAAATCTAAATCATGGCATTCATGACATACATATTATAATTTCCATGTTATGACTAATCAAATATGTTTTTCATACAGTCATGCTATGCCATACCAAGTTTGGTATCGATACCGTTGTCGAAACGGCCATAAGAGCTAAAAATCGTAGGCGGCTCGATAGATAGATAGATAGATAGATAGATAGATAGATAGATAGATAGATAGATAGATAGATAGATAGATAGATAGATACGCTCAAGTCGCCGAAGTTAACTAAGAAATGCCTCTCATTTAAAACTGGTAGATCCCACCTACAGTGGGAATATTCAATATGCGAAGCAAGACTGAGAAATGTTGATATTTCACGTTAAAATCAGCACAACGTTACTAGGTGGATGTAAATGATACCGTACATCACTTCCGTGTGATGATTATCATGTTGTGATGTGTCGTTTATCTTCGTCATTCATTCACGTCCCGTGATACCAAATTTAGCATATGTGGAGCTATCGAAACGGCTGCAAGCATGCTATGAGCGTGGTATGTTACCATGTTCCCACATAACACGTGTGTCAGGGTTATTATGTTTGCACGAGTCATATGTTTCGTCATCCATTGACCTCACGTTACACCAAATTAGATACTTGTAGAGCTAGCTAAACGACCGCGAGCGTGTCATAAATGGGCCAATATACAGCAAAGTCGCGTTGACGAGTGCTTACACTGGGCTCAGCGACACTACGTTAGAAAAACGCGAGAACTCTATAGTCTCGCGCTAGGCGTGACCAGCATCCGTTGGAGCAGCCCAATGGCAACGGCAGGAAATGCGACATGCTACATTTCGCATCGATACGTTATCGAGACAACAATGCGTCGCACTCTTTTCGTGATGGAGGAAGGCCGGACGCCCTGAAACGCGCATGCGTCAAAAACGCAGCGTGGCACGCCTGCGAATATATTGCGGGACAGGCGCCGGGCGTGGCAATGCCGGTGTGACGCGACAAATTGAACGCCGGCGAGCACGCGCACCGCGTCACTTCGAAATGTAGTGCCACCTCGACTGTGGCATGTAGCCATGTTCTCACATGTCGCACATCTCACGATTATCATGTTTGCACCAGTTATATATCTTCGTTCTCCATTGGCATCACGTACTGCCAAATTTGGCATAAGTAAAGCTAGTGAAACGGCTACGAGTGCATCATGGGCGTAGCATGCAGTCACGTTGTTACATGACACACATCTCGTGTTTGTCAGGTTTGCATCAGTCCCATACCGTCGTCTTCCATTCACGTACCGTAATACCAAATTCGGCATATGAGACGCTAGCGAAACGGCCGCGAGCGCAACATGAGCGTGGCATGTAGTCATGCCGCTACATGACGCGCATGTCATGATTTTTTATGTTAGGGTCTATCGCTTGTGTTCGCCATTCAATCATGTCATACCATACCAGTTTTGCAACATGCAATGGGAACTAAACTACCGCAAGAGCTGCAAGACCAAGAAATGTAAATCGTGACATTCATGACATACATGTCAAAATTTTCACGTTATGACTAGTCAAATATGTTCCTCATACAGCCTTGTTACGCCATACCAAGTGTGGTATGGATACCATTATAGAAACGGCCATGAGAGCTAAAAGTCGTAGGTGGATAGATAGATAGATAGATAGATAGATAGATAGATAGATAGATAGATAGATAGATAGATAGATAGATAGATAGATAGATAGATGCGCTCAAAGTCGCCAAAGTTCACTAAGAAATGCTTCTCATTAAAAAAACCAATAGCATTTACTTGAAATCTGTGCACGCTAATAAACTGGCGTCCACGCTCATTCACTAATCAGGCAATCTGGATGCGACCTGTGACACATCGTGAAGCGCATTGAATCTGCCGTCTTGTTTAGGTGCTTGTATGTATTGGCCCAATCACCTGAGTTTGCCGCCTCCATCTCCCGTTTCAAGCATTAGCTTGAGTGGTTGGCTGGAAACGAAGTTGTGCAAATGCGTCTGTCGCAGCACCTGCCAGAGTTCTTCATCCGTATGATGGTGGGTGGGATCCAGGTTAGCACGCAAGGTACCACGCACCAGGCTTGGATCCTGCGACAAAAAATTTGGAATATATTTTCCCTGACATTTGAGCAGAGTAGAGTAGCTACTAGCCGTCTGCAATTGCGTCTACTGAGAAAAAAGTTTCGCTCTTTTAATCAATGCTTCAAATCACGTCGCATTCGTGCGATGTTGAAGATGAGTTCTGATCAGTGGGTTCAGTTCAAAGTTTTGTTGACCTTTCGGAAAGTATATAATTTATAATAAATACTTAGCGTTTTACGTTCCCAAATTTGAATATTATCATAAGGGACGCTGTATTGAAAGACTCCGGAAATTTTGACCACTGGGTGTTCTCATATTTAGAAGTTTTTTCATCGCGCGAAAATAAGGAAAAAAAGACAAGGTAGACAGGAAAAGTGCTGACTTCTAACTTTGTTTCGTGACGTATCAAAATATTGTCAAGTGCGTCCTGCGAAAAAGACGAAGGCGACAGCGCATACGCGCATCAGCACGCTTTCATACAGAACGCAACAACGAGAAAGACGAGGAACTCTCTGGCGCACGGTTAATAAAAAGACCGACCCGTTGCTGCTTTCTAAGCGTCATCAAATAAGACCTCTGTCTTCACGTCGCGACACTGGTGGAGGTGCTGGGGCCTGCAACCTGATGCAGGAAAGCGTTCTTCGGGACCGTACACCCAGTCCAGAGGCTCAACGTCTTGTTACGACTTCTGTACATCGATTCAGCTGGCGCCTACTTGGCCTAAGTCCAGATCTCTCGACGGCATCTCCTGTTGCCAGCATGGCGGCCCCTTCAACGTCTGCGAATCTTCCTCCGGCCTAGACGACTCTGCCTTAACAGGTAACTTTTCAGACCCCTCGTGTTTCCGAACTCTTTCGTGGAGCACCGTATAAAGATGTCGAGGACTGGCTCGACCAGTTCGAGCGGACCACTGTGGTGAATCATTGGAGCGTACAAGAGAAACTTGGCCATGCCTTCATCGCAACGGAAAATATCGCTCGCACATCGTACGAGAGCAGGGAGCCTACATTCCAAACCTGGGAAAACTTCCGCCAAAATCTTTTTGAGACGTTCTTGAGAGCGAACCAACGGGATGTCGCACAACAGATGATTGAAGCCCGCGTGCAAAAGCCTAACGAAAGCGTCACCATGTTCGCTGAGGATATGGTCCATCTAGTTCGCCACGCTGACCCTGACATGCTCGAGGCAAGGAAAGTTCGTCACCTGAAGCGGGGAGTTAAAGAAGCGCTTTTCGCCGGCCTTGTACGAAATCCACCACCAACAGTTGATCAATTTATCAAAGAGCGACTGTCATTGAGCGGGTGCTCCGGCAACGATGCCATCACTTTGACCGCCTGCCCGACCGAACACCTGTTGGTGCCGCTGCTCAAAACGCTGCCGTTTCCAAAAACTCTTTACGGCAAATGTTTAGGCAAGTCCTGCGGGAAGAGCTGTGGGCCCTCGACCTTCCGTCTACCGAGCCTCCAGTTGCATCTGTTGCGGAAATCGTGCGCCAGGAACTGCGGCAAGCCTTTCAATCACCGGCGCCATCACCTGAACCACGTTCATTTACCTATGCTGATGCCGTCCGCCATCATCCGTCTGCCCCAGAAGAAGCACCCTTTCAGCCACGGCCCATTACTTTGCCTTGGTGGCAGCGGGAACCTGTGTGGCGACCTCCAGTATGCCTGACCGACTTGTGGCGCACTGCCCACCGTCGATCCCTTTGTTTCCACTGCGGCAAACCAGGCCACATCTCGTGCTACTGCCGTCATCGAGAAGCCCGGTTTGGAAACTTTTCTCGGTGGCTTCATTTTATTTTGAAGACCCTCGTGACCGTGGTGCTGATCACCTGCTGACCAACCAAGTGTCTCGACCAAGTAGACTCTGGTGGTCTCCATCAGCTGCACGATGTCAGACTTCCCCGAATCGCCAAAGATACGCTGATGCCGTCAGAAACAGCTCCCCAAGCTCGTGCCAGGGAAATTAACTACCACAACCTCCGGGGGCAAGGTTGCCGATCGCCGAGACGCCGAAAAGACCCCCTTGCCTCTAAACTAAGACGACGTGACGACGGCGATGACGAAGACAACGACAACCACGAGTACTAATGCCAGTGAATTTGTATGTGCCGACCTTAGCGTTATTATAGACGGACACTATGTAACACCACTGGTTGACACTGGTGCTGACTTCTTTATTATGCGACAAGAGCTCGCCGACCGCCTTAAGAAGGTTAAGACGCCGTGGAGTGCACCGAGCATAAGGAGTGCTGGTGGGCAGCTAATGACGCCAACCGGTAAACGCACCGCTCGGCTCGTAATCGCTGATTCGAGCTTCGTCGCCACGTTTGTCATTTTACCAGACTGTTGTAAAGAGTTGATTTCGGGTATGAATATTCTGCGAGAGTACGGTGCTGTTATCAACATTCCAGAACGTATCGCCACCTTTTCCGCCCAACCTTACGTCGACGCCACCGCTGAAGAACAACTGCAACGTTTACGTGTAGCTGATGATGTAATGCTCCTGCCTAGATCTTTCTGCCTTGTGTCGGTGTTATGTGAACGGCCGTGCCGTAATGAGGTGATAGCGGAGCGAATATACACGCTATTGCTTATGCAAGGGGTTAAAATAGCGAGAGGCCTTCTGGCACTAATTGATGGGCGGGCAGAAGTGCTCATCACCAACTTCCGCAACGAGCGTCATCACATCCAGAAGGTCACCGCAATTGCCTACTACGATGACGTGGACCAAGCCAGGGATTGCTTAGCTTTGCAACCAGACGACGTAACCGTCCCAGCTTCGACACATTTGTCTCTCAACATTTGCTCTACCCTGTCACCCTCGGATAGACAGCGCCTACTAGAGCTGATACACCAGCCTTCGTGCACGTCGAAAGTCAAGCAAACGCCACTGACCCGACACCGAATCAGCGTCAAAGAAAACACGAAACCGATCCGTCAAAACTCATACCATGTGGCTCCGAAAGAACGTGAGGAGATCCAAAAGCAAGTTCAGAAGATGCTCCAAGATGACGTAATACAGCCTTTCAAAAGTCTCTGAGCATCCCCCGTGGTATTGGTTAAAAAGAAAAACGGCAGCTTGCGTTTAAATACGGAATACCGCAAGTTAAACGAAGTTACGAAGAAAGACGTCTACCACTGCAACGCATAGATGACTCTCTTGATTGGCTGCGGCATGCGCGCTATTTCTCATCGATGGACCTGCGAATTGGCTAATGGCAAATAGAGGTCGACGAGAGAGACAGTGAAAAAACTGCCTTTGTGACGCCCAATGGTCTTTGATAATTTAAAGAGCTTCCATTCGGGTTATGCTCTGCGCCCGCCACTTTTCAGCGTTTAATGGACACTGTGCTATCAGGACTGAAGTGGCAGACATGCTTTGTTTATCTAAACGACGTTATCGTCTTCTCAGCTGCATTCGAGGAACACCTAAGTCGATTATTCGCAGTTATACAAGCTATACGTTCAGCTGGCCTGACTTTAAAACCAGAGAAGTGCCATTTCAATTTCAGCGAACTTTGCTTCTTGGGCCACGTGGTCAGCCATGAAGGTATTCGACCTGATGTGGGCAAAATCGACGCTGTCGCAAAGTTTCCCGCACCGCATGACAAAAGAGCGTTGAGACGCTTCTTAGGCCTCTGTGCTTATTACCGAAACTTCATCGCCAACTTTTCGTCTATTGCGGCACCTTTGACGTGGCTCACAACAGAGGATGTCCCCTTTCTTTGGGTTGAAAAGGAGCAAACAGCATTCAACGAATTACGCCAATGCCTCCAAACACCTCCAGTTCTTGCGCACTTTGACCAGGAAACGCCAACAGCACTTCACACCGACGCAAGCAATGTAGGCCTGGGCGCCGTACTGATAAAATGGCAAGATAACTCCGATAAAGTGATAGCATATGCCAGCAGAGCTCTCTATCGCACGGAAGAGAACTACTCGACTACCGAGAAAGAGTGCCTCGCTGTGGTTTGGGTGGTTCTCAAATTTCTACCGTATCTGTACGGCTGCTCATTCAAGGTCGTCAGTGATCACCATTCGCTTTGCTGGCTCACTAACTTGAAAGACCCATCCCACCTTTTAGCACGCTGGAGCCTTCGGCTTCAGGAGTTTGATATGACCATTATTTTTAAATTAGGGAAGAAGCACACCGACGCAGACTGCTTCTCGCGGTCAGCCGTCGAGCCTGCCGCTATTAATGACGAGTCTATGGACGCCGCATTCTTGGGAGTCATCAACGCGGGCACAATTTCACAAGATCAGCGCAGTGACCCTGACCTGCTTCCGCTTATCGACTTCTTAGATGGACGACATGAAGACGTGCCGCGAGTTTTTGCGAGAGGAGTGTCATCTTTTTGTTTAAGGAACGACGTCATCTGCAAGAAGAACTTTTCTTCCACAGGCAGCCCATACCTGCTCGTCGTCCCTGAATCACTGAAAAAAGATTCTTAAAGCCTGCCATGAAGAAGTCACCTCTGGTCATATCGCTTACACTCCAACATTGTCCCGCCTGCAAAACAGTTTTTACTGACCGAACCTACCTGCTGCTGTGAAACATCAGGTCCGAACAAGAGCCAACTGTCAGAGACGCAAAGCACCACCCGGCAGGCCGGCAGGCATATTACATTCCGTCCAAATACCAGCAAAGCCATTCGCCTAAATCGGAATCTATTTCCTGTGTCCATTTCCAACTTCTACCACTAGGAACAGATGAATCATCGTCGCGACCGATTACTTGTCTCGCTACGCAGAAACTAAAGCCATGCCGAGGGCCACAGCAGTAGTAGCGGCCCATTTCTTCATGAAGAAACGTCGTCCTTCGGCACGGTGCTCCAACAGTTCTTATTACAGATAGAGGAACTGCGTTCGTGGCAGAATTTTCGGAGTCGATTTTCAGGCTCAGTGGTACAGCTCACCATAGAAAAACGGCGTACCACCCACTAACAGAGCGGCTTAGTAAGACCCTCGCAGACATGCTCTGCATGTATGTCGATACAGAACACA